TTGCACTAGTCTAGCCATCACCGGGGAGCCCTCACATGGGTTTTCCAATGAAAAGTGAGAAAAGAAGAAGTATCCAGGTGCCAGCGTCGCTCAGCTCTGGCATAAGATTGGAGAGAGCTGATCTGTCATAGGTGCTGTAGTTTGGATCTGAAATATCCCCTAGAACACTCATGTGTTTAAGGACTGGTCCTCAGTGCAACATTCAGAAGTAGAAATTTGGAGACTTTAGAATGCTCTAACCAATGGATTATGAATCCATTTAAATGAACTATTAAATGGACCACCAGAAAACAGAAAAAAACAACTGAGGAAGCAGAGTCAGACTAGAGGACAAAAATCACTGAAGACATGGCTTTAAAGGCTATGTCTCTTTTTCTTTCTGACTCTTTGCTTCCTGGCTTCCAAGCAGTCAGAGATCCTCTTTCTCATACCCTTGCTGTCATGGTATTCTGCTGAACCTCTGCTCCAAAGCCTTGAAGCCACCCCACCTTGGCATGAACTCTCCAAATTCATGAGTCCAAATAACTGTTTATTCCTTTCGGGTGTTTCTCTTAGCTGTTTTCTTGCAGCAGTTACAAAGCTAACACTGTGTCTATAACAGGGGATTTGAAAGAAAAGAATTGCATGCTGTAAGAAGACAACTGAGAAAACCTTCTTCAGCTCTGCAGTGAGAAAAGGTTTCTGTGGGAAGTTTCATGAGATGATACATGAAGAAAATGGTCAAGGGTAGAGAGAGGCATTCGAGTGAGCAGGAGGAGCATGTTCAAAGGTCCTGTGTCCAGAAAGAATATGACATGTCCAATCACCAAAAGCAGCCAGGATATCCAGAGCACTGAGAGATAAGAAATAGGATGTGAAAAAGTCACTAGATAGCCCAGGACTGGATGGGCCTAATGGTATGTCAATCATAGTTTATTTAAAGGCCAAGCCACTAAAGAGATTAAACTCCAAAGTGACATGATCCGATTCACTCAGGCCAAGTGTGACACGGAGCTTGTTGCACGGAGAGGATCAATAAACAGTGCTGAACATCTGAATAAACACACTCAAACTAGATTGCAGAAGAGAGGGAAACTGCTGGACTTCAGAACATGAGTAAGATTTCAGCCGCTGCCTGCCCGTGAGAACAGTTTCTCCTAATCCAAATTCGCTTCCATGCCTCTCAGCCTGAGCAGCACATGGAGCTGCTGAGATCCACAGGAGCCCCTGACAGACTCATTTCAGCGATCACTATCAAATGCCTCTATTAGGAATGCTCAGAAGATTGTATTAGCATGATCCAATATTTACGAAATGACACTCCGCTATCATAAGGGGCTGAGAAAATTAAGATTAGAAGCAATCATCATGCCTTAGGGATGAGAAATGGGAGGGAAGGAGAAGGCAGCAACCTGGTTGCTGTCCAGTACCTTGGTTTTCTTTATTGGGAAGGATAATGGGAAGGGAATCAGCGTGTGATCAGGAAGCAGAGTGCCAAAGGCCTTTAAATTGTCATGCATGACTTCATTAATAACCTCAAGTAAGGGATCCATCCATGCACCCTCCCAGCACATCATGGATGCTCTGTATGTCACACTGCATCTCACAGGTGATGAAGATGATGCTGTGAGCAGGGCTATTGTGGTCCTCAATCACATGGGTTTCTCATCTAAGGGATGTTAGTCACAATACAATATTTGTGAGGGACAAACGTGGCAAATGCAGTGAGGATTTTTACCAAGAGTAACTCCAAACTGAATAGGGAGAGTAGCGACAGGAACACAGAGCACAGAGCAGAGTAAGGGGATCCCTGGGACTGTTGTAGGTGAGTTCCTGAGGCAGGGGAATAAGAATTTTCTGGCAACTTCAAGATCCAATGTGAAGCAAGCTCAGGGGAAACAGAACCAGTGAGGGTGGAAGTTGAGGTGGGATAAGCTGTGAAAGTCTTGAGGGAAGAAAGGGACTCTTGGTCTTCTCAGAGCAGCAGAAGACTTCAGAAGCCCTCAACACAGAGGGTGGACAGGGATGAAGTGGGGCAAGAGGGAATGGTCAGTCCCATATTCCAGCAGAATCTCTCTGGCTTCTGGATGGAGATTAAACTCAAAAGAATGATACAAGGAGCTAGAAAGGTCTCCACATACCCAAGAGAGAGGCAGCAGTGGTCTGCACCAGAAAATGAGAGTCTAGGAAAAGAAACTGGGCAAACCAGTTTCTTTTCTAAGACACAGATGGAGTTAGGGAAACATTAGGATGAAGAGACCACCATAGAGAAATGGGCAGACAAGTAAAGCCACTGGCTTCCGAATCATTCTAAAGACTGAACAGAGACAGGAGAATGGGAGAAGTAAAATTTCAGTTTTAGGCAGGAAGGGTGGTATTCACTAACAATCCCAGCACTTAGGAGGAAGCAGGAAGATCTTGAGTTCAAGGCTATGTCAGGAAGGAAGGAAGGAAGGGAGGGAAGAAGGAAAGAAGGGAAGGAGGGAGGGAGGGAGGAAGGAAGGAAAGAAAGAAGGAAGGAAGGGAGAGGGGGAGGGAGGGAGGAAAAGGGAAGGAAGGGAAGGAAGGACAATTTCAGAGATGTTGAGCCTACATGACGGAAGATTTTGAGTGGGCTAAAGATGAACACAAAACACACATATGCATATGAATATACAAACACACACTAGAATGCATGTAGATGTCCACTCATGCATATATACATACACTGATGCATACAAGCAAGTATGCATGCATGCTGATATATAAGTGCATACACACACACACACACACACACACACACATATATATATATGTACACACACAAACACATACACTATAAGATCCATATTTGATTAATCTCAAAGATGGCCAACAGAGCAGAGAACATGCAGGCATAGTGACACACACTATTAATCCCAGCACTCAGGAGGGAGAGGCAGATAGATCTCTATGATTTCAACACAAGCCTGGTCTACATAGTGAGTTCCAGGCCAGCCAAGGCTACATAGTGAGACTCTGCCTTAGAAAGAAAGTAATATAGGAGCTCTACAAGGACCAAATATATCCGGGCACAGTGTCTTTTCTGAGACTGACACTCAACCAAGGACCATCTATGGATATAACCTAGAACTTCTGCTCGGATGTGGTCCGTGGTAGCTCAGTAACCAAGTAGTTTTCCAAAGTAAGGGGAACACAGACTATTTCTAACAGGATCTCAAGGGCAGGCTGTTTGACCCCCCAGGGGAGGAACAGTCTGTTAGGCCACAGAGGAGGACTTTGCAGCCAGCCCTGAAGATACCTGATAAAACAGGGTCAAATGAAAGGGGAGGAGGTCCTCCCCTATCAGGGGACTTGGAAAGGGGCAGGGAGGAGACCAGGGAGGGAGTGTGGGGTTGGGGAGGGAATGAGGGAGCGGGATACAGCTGGGACACAGAGTTAACAAAATGTAACTAAAAAGAAAACTAAAATTAAAAAAAAAAGAAAGTAAGTAATAAAGGAAGAGAGGGGGTTGGGGAGAAAGCACAGTGGTTTGGGCTTTTGAGGTCCTAATGGGATGAATGACTGAGACACTATAAGAATGAAGTCAGCATTACTAAAATCCCCAATAGGACAACAAATATAGTTTTCCCATGCTACCTTATTCACTGGAATATGAGATATCTTATGCTTAGACCAAATAAGACCTCACCTAATCTGAAATGCCCAATTTAGTACCTTTGGCTTGTTTCTTTCCTCTTTCCTTTCCTTTCCTTTCCTTTCCTTTCCTTTCCTTTTTCCTTTCCTTTCCTTTTTCCTTTCTTTTTCTTTCCTTTTTCCTTTCTTTTCCTTTCCTTCCTTCCTTCCTTCCTTCCTTCCTTCCTTCCTTTCTTTCTTTCTTTCTTTCTTTCTTTCTTTCTTTTGTTCTTTCTTTCTTTTTTAGATGGCTTTGAATTCTAGATCCTTCTGAGAAACATATACAACACAGTGCATGCCCTTAGTAGGAACCATGAAAATCTTACCAGGGACCTCCTGCTTTGGAACCAAGCACAATGTCAGAGAGGAAATTTCCTCCTCCCAGATTCTTCTGAGTATCCTCTTTGCCTCCACTTACTAACATCCTAGAAACCCTCTCCCAAGAGTTGGACAAGAGGCCATGGCTGAGGGGGTCACAGATTGTCATAGTCTTCAGATAGAACCTGAAGCAGTGGGGTTGGTGTGGCCACCCATGAGGAAAGCACAGAGCAAGCCCAAAGAACACTAGTGTTTAAGGCCAGAGGGAACTATCAAAGAAGAATGGGCGAGCCTCAGAGAGGGCTGAGTGGCTGATGGAATACAAGATGGTGTGCGAGATACAGGGAGTTACTGGCCAGGAAGCCTCTACAGACAATGCCCTCTCATGTTCTACAGCCAGCTGGCTTTCCCACTGTTCAAAAGAGTGATCTTAACTTTCACTGTAGGACATCCAGGAAAAATTGCTGATATGCCTTGCCTAATTCACCAACTCTGACAGTGTTCTCCTAGAGTATGCGTATATCTCCTCCGAGCATATCCCCTAAGACCCAGCAGGTGCCTCTCTCACAGGCCTGCCTCACGCAGGCATCCATCAAGAATTTACATTGGTTAAATAAGCTTGGCATTCTGGATGTCAGGACACTCATCAAAGCGGTAATAATATGGCAGTGGAAATCCCCTGATGTATTTATACAATCCATGTTCATATGGCATAGAGGAAAGGAATGAACTTGTCTCTTTCTAAAATGTCATTACCGCCTGGCCCCAGAGCAAAACTCAGTGATACTCTGTGTATAGACAGAGTTTAAAAGTCTCAGAGTAAAAGGAAATCCCAAAGGCGTTCAGATCCTGATAACCTGTGACTCTCCCTCCAAACGAAGGAGTTCACTTAGCCTTGCTTAAATGCCTCTAAGGATAGGAAACTCACCACCTATACATCAACCTACTGTCCTCTCAGACAGTTCAATCCATAAGAAGGTCCTTCCCCCATGAGCCATTGCAAAAGACAGCCACCTCCATCTCAGCCCCAAACATGATGGATCACATACCTGTGGGCACAGCTGGGTCCAGCATTGGCTTCTCCCACGTGTTAATCTGCTCCCAGGTAAACCCATTGGTTCCCAGAGCCACACTATACCCACAGTTGCTGTAGTGCTCATCAAAAGAACAGCCACCTGCAGACAAAAGAGAGAAGGGTAAGTTCAGCCCCATGCATGAATCTTGGTTCATTACCCCTGCTCCATCAGCTCTCCATTTACAGCTTTGAATCTCAAACTCTCGAGAGATATTGGAGGAAAAATAAAAAACAAAAGCAGGCAAACTGGATTTTTATATTTGCTTTAGTGCTCCCAGGAAAGTCGCTGGCATCTGCAAGCCCCCCTATTTAAGAAAGTTAATAAGGCTAGTTACATTGATTTCAATCTTCCTTTCTAAGAAAGGAAACAGCAACCTTTCATTCTAAGTAGGAAGAATGAATGCCAGGGCATGCCTCTGTAATTGCTTCCTGCAATAGCAAGGGGTGCTGGAATGCTGCAGAAAGCTGCAGAGTCCAGCAGGGCTACAGCACACCTCAGCTGTGCAAAGCCATGAGTTTGGGTCACCTGGTTTCCCCACCTGTGACGTGGAAAGGAACATCTACCTTATGGTGTGTCATTAGGTGAATTGACTATGAAAAGCAAGCAAAGGGCATACTCTGGATCCCCCACTTTCTTTGCTATACAAGTAAACTAATAGCCCGTGCTTCCTGGAGTGTGAAGAACAAACTGGTGAGGAATTAAACACCCATGCATTTGAAAGAAGAGAAAGTCAACAGTGAGTGTTACTAGATCCTCCCTCAACGTTCAAACCATCATCATTTGATGTTATGCTGTGTCCCTTTGACTTTGGCAAGGATGAACTTAGCATATACTTTCAAGGTGACATTGAAAGAGATAGAGGATTAAAATGGAGGCACTAACTAGGATTGCTGCTGTGACCAAAGAAGCAGGAGCCCACTATTCTGCAAAAGGGAAGGAAGGGGAGAATGAACAGAGCCCTGGAGGAGAGGAGATTTTCTTCACAGATAGAAGACAGGAGGAAGGATATTCCAAAGAAGCACAGCCTGATCCACAAAAGGATCTGGCACCTACTGGCCTGAGCCTACAGTGACCTCCTGGCTGGTCACCCAAACCCACTTACATCCTAGCCCATCTCTTCACTGTGCTGTTTCCTTGGTGCTCAGCTCCCTGCTCTCCCCTAAAGACCCATATGCCCCAATCACAGGTTGAGCCACATGCACTGAAGGCCACATGTCTGTGCCCTCTCCCAACTCCTATGTTGGAACCCAACCGGGAGGAAGTGGTATTTAGAGAAGAGAACTTTGAGGAAATTATTAAGTTATGAGGGTTTCGCTGTCATGTAGAGGTTTCAGGTCCCCAGAGAGCATACTCAGCCCTTCTACTAAGTGAGGAATTGTGAAAGAGGAAAGGCCAAGAAGATAATAAAATACATATGACATGAAAGCAGAAAGGGTCTTTTATGAGGAAGGATGGCAGAAGGAGATGAACAGAGGGATGGAGAAGGGAGAGGGAAGGAGATCAATGAGAACAAGGTAGATATGAAAATGTTATAATCTAATCTATTATTTTATATGATAATTAAACTAATGAAATATAAATAAAGTGAAATAAAATGCAGGCATCTATGGAAAACAAGCTTCTCTCAGATCTGCATCAGCTGCTGCCTTGATTGTACACTTCTAGGTCTCCAGAACTGTGAGCAAATTTTTTGCTATTATTTGTAAATCACCCAGCTGAAGGTATTCTGTTATAGTCAACTTGAGCACGTTATGACAGAACCCCAGTGAATGCTGGGATGAGCAATAGAGGTCCAAACCATTGAGAGGTACAGGAGTTGAGTAGTGCTTCGCATGAAATAAAAAAATGAATTACACAAACATCTTGAGAAGAACAAAAAGGTAAAGAAGCCCAAGAAGTAATAATAAAAACTGAAATCTGCAGTGAGGCCAGTGGGAAATTTCTGATCAAAAGAGGATGGGAAGCAACTGGTAGGAGGGAGGAGAGAAAACTATTTGCTTTCCCACAGTTACTTGCTAATTCAACAATGACTTGTTAAAGAACGGATACAGCATCGGCACTGGTTACACTGTGGCTTCTAGAGAAACCCATGAAACTTTGTGAGGCTGACCTGCAGCAAACAAGCAAGTTAGAGGGTAATTACTAATGTAAGCATGCACTACAGAGATGGCAAGTGGGAGTGGGTGAGAGATCCACTACATTGGAGTGCTACAAGATGTCTAACCATGAACTGAAATCAGACCCACACTACAATGGCCCACCCCCGTGCCAACCTCTCAGCAACAGGCGCTAGATACAGAATCTCTGACAGACAGTCCTCAGTTCCTCTGATGCTGCAAGGGCCTTCATGGCTGAGGCTGCAGGTGGTAGCAATCAAAGGAAGGAGTGGAAGCAGACGGATCACACAAGAAGAGCTTGCTGCCAGGTGCAGTGGCACATGCTTGTAAACCCAGCACTCATGGAGACAGAGGTAGGTGGATCTCTGTGAGTTCAAGGCCAGCCTGATCTACAAAGTGAGTCCAAAAAAAAAAAAAAAGAGAGAACTTGTTTAGAGCAATGAAAGGCAGATCCATATTCTATCTTGAGCTACTCTTTTCTTGGGATATTCAGTCCCTACTTTCTGCCAGCATTTGCCATGGCTTATGAATATATTTAATGTCTTTGCACAACAGAGATCTAGATACAGGTCCCTATTCTGCACTCATGTCTGCATATGACACACACGTCAGCATCTCAGCCAGGCATACAGTTAGGACTATTCCACAGAGTGACCAGATTCTCAGCTTAGAAAGAAATATGACTGGTGGAATTTAAGTTCCCATCTGTGCTTTGTGCAAAACCTAGAATGCGGAGCATATTTAAGAGATGCTGTCTAACTGTTCATCATCCAGCTGCATCAGACTGATAAGCACAGAAGCTGGATGTTCAGTGTGGTGGCACTGAGGGCAGGAAAAAGAAAAAGCAATCAGGGAAGGAGGGAGCTGTAGAACCATGCTTTGATTTCCCACGTGTCCATCTGTTCAAATGTGGTCATGTGCCTGACTCCGAGCTCCTGGCTCCCTATGTCAATAGGGAAAGTTTCCCAGATACTGGACACTGTGTTCTTATAATACAAGCCAAACTGTTCAAGGAAAATGACAACCAATCCATGAGCAGATGAGACAAGAGCCTCTGCAGGAATATCTGTGATGAACCTCATGTCCCGTAATGAAACGCCATCCCTATCTGAAACTCCATCCACACAAGCAGTGCATGGTGAGTCTCATGAGACTGTTTCTCATAATCTTTCTCAATATAAATTGATAGCATCACCCAAACACACATATCAAGAAAAGCAAACCACTGTGGCCTGATACCAGCTCATACAGATACCCGCTCCCTGCTCGTGTAGCTTGATGCAGACATAACGTGTTTAAAACTACTAAGAAAAAAATATATACTTAAGGATGATTTTCTTCCTTTCAAACCACAAATGAAGAATCAGCATGGTCATGCACTTGAGACTGACTCGACATGATGTAGTCTGCCAGAGATCCACACCCATTCTCATGTCTGAGCCTTTAGTTCCTGGTATATGGGAACAAGATGACCACAAGGAACATTCTCGTCATACGATCTAAGTATTCTAGAGAATCAGAAGTAAAGAGAAACCTCCACGGGCCACAGAGATGCAGAAATGGCAATAATCCATGGTGTCATGGACACTCTGAAAGGATAAGAGAAATGAGCCACCATAAAAGGAGAAGAAAAGAAACTCAAGCCCCCTTGAACCCTGAGTAGGAAACATTCACCCCATCCCCATGGCCTTAAGACTTTTTATAAGTGATGTGGATCATCCAAAAATCGCATCTATCTGTCTTCTCTAGAAACCATAACACAAAAGACCTAGCCATCTCTGTAGGTATTTGTGGCAGGCCACTTAAGGAAGACATACGATTGGAAAGAATCCCCAAAGAAACTCAATTAGATGCTGACCTCATTCAGACATAGGGAGCCTGTGGTGTCAGGTAACTGATGTCAACCTTAGCAGAGTCATTTATGGAGGAAATGACACTTTTGTCTCTACCTCTACCCCAGGAACTAGCTCCAGAAGCACCATCTAGCCTGATGGAGACTTATAGAATCACAGGAGGACAGGGAAAGGCAACCACCACCCAAGGACTCTGTTCTTGAACAGATGAGCTATTTCACTGGGCAGGTTGAGGTCAAAAAGTGGCAAAATCCCCAGATGCTCTGATGCAAGTCAAACATAAAAAGTCAACAGAGAAATGGAAGACTGTAGCAAGGAAATTAGATTTTGAAAATCCATTTGGATTTGGTAATGTATAGCTTATCAGCATCTGTAAGGGAGTAAACACAGTGCAGGATACATACTTTAGGAGACATTAAAGCATAAATAAGGTTTATAGTGCCAATCAGAATTTTTTTTTTAAAACATGAGCTCTTCTTTTGAAAATGAGAGAGGAATAGAATTCAATAAAAATATAAATGTGCCTGCCTGCCTCTGCATTTCTCAGATATGATCCTATGTATTCCAGAGCAGAATTAAGTTCAGAAGGGGGACGAAAGATTTGTTACTTTCTGGCATGATCCAGGCACCATATGTGAGTTGTATGGAATTATATGCAAATCTGTTTGGATATGAAAGCAGAAAACCTCAACACCCTTCTCTAAGACGGGGCTCAGCAAACTTTTCTACAAAGGTCCAAATAGTAAATCTCTTCAGCCTTGTGGCTGCATGGTCTCTGTCACAATTGCTAAGCCCCACCCCTGTCACACAAAGGCAAACATAGCCAACATGGAAACAAGTGAGTGTGTGGAATCAAGTAGGTGTGGCTGTGTTCCCTTGCGACTTTATACAGAATCATGGAGGTAGGCCACATTGTGCCCAGAGAGTGTAACCTGTCAATTCTTGCTCTAGGAGATAAGCACTGCTCTCTGCCTTTCTACATGGAATTTCATTGTAGAACTCCCAAGTGACTTACTCAGCTGGAGAAAAAGCATGACATCACGGTTGGCGATAGCAACAGAGAGACACCCCTTTCTATCAA